CGTTCTTTTGCAACAAAATCTATTTGATTATAAGTTGATAAAGTTGTCTTTTATAACCCAATGTCCTTCACTGATAAATTGATACTGCTGTTTTAAATTAAAAAAAATGTCTTTCATTATAAGTTGATAAAGCTGTTTTCTTATATATAAAAATATGTCTTTGTCTGTAATGTGATAAAGCTCTTAAGCTAAAAAAGAATTTTCATATTTACGAATGCGTTTTTCTGTAAGTAAACAAAAACATTTCCTGTTTAAAAAACAAAGTGACGGGGGAGCGTACTGAGCACATGTTGTCTAACAGTTAAATGCACTGCTCATTGTTACGATATACTTCAAGTAAGTCTCTGACCGAGCCGGACTTTTGTCAAAAATGACCTTGGCTCCTAGGTCGACTCAGTCTTGAGTGGGTACAGGGGGCCGTTTCGAGAAATAAAGGCGGCCGGCGTGATGCTGACCACATCACCCATCTTGTGCCGATTGGTCTACAAAATATAGGCCTAGCCCTATACGCCTAAATGCGTGGAAAAGGGTCATTTACTTTACTTTACTTGAAGTAAGTAAAGGGCATTTGTTGTTAATTGGATATGGTCCCTTATTTTGAAAACTGAATATTTATGAAAAGAGGAACAGAAGAAGGCAATACATGTAGACATTTGACATAATTATAATATGGCACAGATGCAATTATGAAGACATCCGAGCATAAATATGAGGGCAAAGAGACACATTATTTAAAGCATATTCATTCCAACATTAAGCTACCATCCCAGATCGAGTGAATAATGAAACTATCAGATAAACTGTGGGAACAACACCCTGTACTAGATTCATCGAAAAACCGCAGTTCAAGTGGTTTGGCTATCTCGTTAGAATGCAGCAAGATCAAATACCATCACAACCACTACACTTCAGAAGATAAGCTACAAGAGCAAGAGGACGGCCACGAAAAACATGGATCGGCAACATTAAAAACACTCTATGCCTTCACGGCATGACAATAGTCAATGGCAGCCAACGTGCACTGGATCGCAAATAGTTCCTCCCCACGCCGCTTAACCGCAGAAGTGATTTAAGATGATAATAATAATGATGAAAGATTCATAACAGTAAATGAAGCGATACATGCTAAAGATGGCAAGATAAGGAGAAGCATGCCAGTTTGCAAGGCACTTGAAGATGATGAGACACGGCCAGCTCCAGTATATAAATCTGGAGCTGGCCGTGGATAAGAGCACTAGGTAGTTTTTTTATATATTTTTTTTATTTCCCTGATGTGTTTTAAAATAAATTAACGTGTATTTTCTATTTTTTTTTTTTTTTTTTTAATAATCTCAAAGTCAGTAACACAGTCCATTAAAATCTGGAAGTGTTGTTTACTTCTGGCCAGCTTGACAAATGTGGTGTCCACATATGGGCTGAAGTTCGCAGTTTGGTTACCAAAGTTACTAACATACGGGCTGGAGTCCACAGTTTGGTTGCCAAAGTTACTAACATATGAACTGGAGTCCACAGTTTGGTTGCCAAAGTTACTAACATATGGACTGGAGTCCACAGTCTGGTTGCATAAGTGGCTAAGTGCTCAGTTAACACCGAGCGCTGTGTATTTGTGTAGAATACGCTTTTTTTGTGTGTGGTACTCGCATCAGTATGTGTTGTAGTTTTCAGAAAATGCCAGTTGGCCAATGTGTACTCCGGCTGGCGATGTAGCTTATGCAATAGTTGCGTGAGAGTACTGCCAGCTTGTCGTGACTGACTAATTGCACAAATAAATTACTATTCTAATGGCAGACTGTTGATACCTCTAGCCTTTTGCTTTTACCGAGTGTGCTTGTGTTTTGGGATTTTACTAGGACGAACTATATGTTTACTAGTTTTCAAAAAGGACAGTGAAAGAGTGTTTGTTTTGTGAAATTGTTACTCTCATGGTAACGGAACAATCATGTTGTGACCTCTTTGCAATTACGTTCACACCTCGACTTCCCTCCGACTGGTATACATTTTTCACTTTTGTCTCCTATAATTAGTTCACTCACAAAAATAGGACAGCTAATTTTTTATTTTTTGTTTTTATTTTTTTTTTGTTTTTTGTTTTTTTTACAGATCATGCCAATAATAACATTCTTCAGTACGGTTATTGCCATCCTGTACTATCTTGGCGTGATGCAGACCATCACTAAAGTCATCGGGATGTTTCTCTCATTTTGTCTGGGAACAACTCCAGCAGAGTCCCTGAATGCAGCTGGAAATATCTTTGTTTCCATGGTAAATTTAGTATGTTGAATAAATAAGTGAGTATATAACAAATAATTAACGGAATTGAGTGGGTGATATCTGCAGCAATGAGCCCCAAGGACACGGAATTCCGAAGAAGACGAAGATTACAGTCTGCTTAAATTTGTAATTATTTTTAGGATGCTAGATTTAATTGCACGGCTTCGCCAAAGATAGCGGAAAAAAAATCTTATTCTACAGTCCTCTACCTCATCTTGATCTCCACCGTTGCCCCATATGTAGGCATAGTGGAAATACGGGTCTAACTAAAACTCTATAGTACATATTCCTTTATCCACTTCATCTTTGTCTCCATCGCTGCCGTATCTTTAGTCAGTGCCCTTAAGTGCACCCGAGGAATCCCCTGTAATACTAACACCAGTACTTAACAATTTGGGAGGCAGACAAATGTATTTTCTCACACACTTTGATATATGGTTTCAAAGAAGATAACAATAAATAAAGAAATGCAAATAACCTGGGCCACCATTGTAACTGTTAAATTAAAACATTGTAGTCATAAAGGCAAATAACAATTTAACCCGTGTGTTGGTTATGGTTTGGGAAAAGTTAACATTTCATTTATGATAAACTCACGAAATACAGAAAGGGGTGGTCATTTATAGTATAGATGTTGTTTACATAGCATGCGATATGTATGTTCATTTACTTTACGTATAACTGTTTCTTCTTCTCAAAGTCCATGCCGTCTGGTAGTTATGTCCATCCACAACCTTCTGTCTCGTGTACTTTCAATAAACTCTGACACAGATGATCCTCCATGCAATGATGTAAAACTGTCCAGCATCTGTTCTCTCGGTCTCTCTCTGCCGCTCCTCCTCTCCAACTTTCCTACCGTCATTATGTACTCCAGTTTTCTCCTTCTTATCACATGACCAGAGAATGTAGATTGTCTCTTTCTAATGTGGGCAATCAGTACACTGTTCAGCGCAAATTAAAAAAAATAAATAAAAATTAATTGATTTTCAAAGTCTTCTCACAGCACCAAATGTTTCTTCTTCTTCGCGTTCAGCGGATGTAAACTCTTTTGGAAAGATCAAGTTGTTCTTCTACTTCCCAACTTTTATGTTACTCCAGAACTAATGTTTTGTATGCCATATAGCTTACATATCTGGCTTACGTGTTGGTTCTTTATCTCTCAGGCATTTGTACTTTGACTTCGAAGGAAAAAATAGAACTAGTTGCCTCCAGTGACATGCTTGCCAAGGGGCGGTGGATCTCCCCCCTTCCCATCTTCCTTCAAAATGGGATTTCAGAACTCATACGGGAAACATTGGCAAAAAATAATGTATTTTGTTCAACATTGATTGCAAAAGCATGGATAAACAAGCCTTAAGAAGTATGATTATACTGTATGTGGAGAATGTTGATCCTATCACAGCACTAGTTTTACCAAGGCGGTACCCTAATTCTGATTACACGTAATATTTGCAGAGTTGCGTTGTTATGTTTCTAAAAATTAAGACGCCGATATTGACAGTTACGTATTTATAGTAAAGTCAACATACAATATATTTAAAGCAATATATATATATATATATATATATATATATATATATATATATATATATATATATATATATATATATATATATATATATATATATATAAATATAATAAAATAGATTTTTAGACAAATGAAGATGTATTCTATACTTTTCAGACAGAATCACCGATGATGATTCGGCCATTTCTGTCAAAAATGACCAGTTCCGAACTGCATGCTGTGATGGTCGGGGGATTTGCCACAATTGCCGGTGGTGTGCTTGGAGTTTACATAGGATTTGGCGTATGTAAATGTGTTTGTATGTTGTGTAAGAATGGTGATAACATACCAGAGTTTGGTTAAAATATCAAGGGTGGCTGTGATAGGGCTGGACTACTGACGGTAAAGTGAATGTCATCTATGAATTGATAGGATGCCTGAATGATATAAAAACAATCAATTGTTTTTCTCTGTATCCAACGGAGACAGTCAGTGGGAAAAGGTGGGGAAAAGGGGGGGGGGGGCATAATCAGAGAGAAAAACAGAACAAAAAAAAAAAAAAAAAAACAATTATACAATAGAAAAAATGAGTAAATATTAATATAAACTATAAAATATTAATTAGATAATCGGAAAGACAAAACAGGGTCGGGGGGGGGGGGGGGGGAGGGGGAGGAGGAGGGTAGGCAGGTGTCTACGAATTAGGAGAAAACAGAAATCAGTGTCAAAGTATGCTTTAAAATTCAGAACAAATGGTTTTGATACAAATGGCTGTGTCTAGATATTTCCCATCTCAAACTTTTTAAAATTAAACACATAGTAAGTTGTTAGTTTTAAACATAGAAAGTGGCCAAATCCAGTAGAATGGAGAATAGGGTGTCGCGGAAACATTTTGACATAGGCTGACGAAGACATCAATGTCGAGACTTTACGCAAAAATATAACAGACTTGCCATGAACTGGTGACGCGGAGCAAGGGTGATGACACAGAGAAAACAGTAATTGCGGCGTGGTGGTAGGGAAAATCAACCCTCTTGAGGATGTTTGGGCGGGGAAAAAGGGTGAGGGTGCTGGAAAAAATCAACTTTCTCAAGAGTGCTGAAGAAAGCCCTCTTGAGGGTGCTGGAAGAAAACATCCCTTTCTGCGGTGCTGGGGCAAATCAACCCTCTTGTGGGTGCTAGTAGAAATCAGCCCTCTTAGGGGTCCTGGCAGAAATCAGTCCTCTTATAAACAAATATTTGAAAAGAGGACTTCTATACTTGGTTAGGGGGCCGCCTAGCATATTACCAAATTGGGGGGGGGGGGGTGTTGTTTAATGGGACTAAACCCCTAGGTATGTGTGCTCCTATCTCCGCATGTCTTGAATCAGACGATTTCTGCAGTCCCTTATCTCTTAAATCGACAATGATATGAGATATTATATCATTTTATTTGACTCCAATAATTGCTCAAGTAATTGATGTTTATTTCTTTGACATCAGTGTATGAAACTACGTGTTGTGTTCATAGTATAACTCAAAAGTATGGAGAATAAATGTCAACTATTTCTGATTAAAACAACGTGCCATGTGAGACTGGATACCGTAAATGTAAGTATCATTACGTGAATCAAAAAATTCCCATTGAGGCACTCAGGAAATTCCATATAAGCTTCGTCCCTTTACCAAGCAGCCAACGAAGAGATCCCATTCATACGATGTTTATCAACCAATCAACTTGCTATGTGTGGTCTGGTATATTACGTTTAGTCAGGGAAAATTTAAAAAAGAATAATAAAAATTGCAAAAAATTATAATAAAACTTTAAAAAAGAAAAAGAAAAGAAATTTAGTTACTGTTTTCTACAAGGAGCGTGTATTTGATTTTGATGGAAGCAATACACATGTGAGCTTGTTGTCATCATTTCCTTCCTGTGGTGTCCATTATGGCTTTCTGGGATAGAGTTAACAGACTGGTTTATTTATATCCCAGGTACCAGCAGATCATCTGTTGTCTGCTTCCGTCATGTCGGCGCCTGCTGCTCTGGCTATATCCAAAATCACTTACCCTGAGATCGAGATACCAGTCATACGTCCTGAGGACTATGACAAAATGGAAAAGACGTACGTTATTTTCTAAAAGAGATTTTTAATTGCCATATTTTGCTGTTTATTAGCCAATAGTTGATCAGCTAGGTCTGTTTTTGTACTTTACCCATCACGGTTTCAATGTTTAAGATGATAAAGTTATTTTATACCATAGGGAGGCACGGGGAAATCAAAGCCCTTGCCGATGGGAAACAAGTGTGACTAGCAAGGCCTAATCGCATTAAGACAAGTCTTCCACCGTTAGAGTATGGAATGGCAAAACCATTGTTGACAACACTCTTTTTATTTCGTTCGGTTCCGTTGCTTTGCTCACCATTAAAACAAAATCGCCACCCCTTATCCCTCAAAGAGGGAGGGGGTGCTCTTAAGTTATAATTATGACTAGGTTATGTGCGCCATATAAAATGGCTTCGCATTGCTCACCACCAAGAAGCTCTGGGGAAAAAAAAACCTCTTGCACTGTTGATGCGACCAAAGAAGACAAACGCAAATACTGTCACGGCCAGTGACGAAGTCGTCTACCGGCGAGCCAATGGGCGATCCCTTCGCCGATGCTTTATGTCATAATACCCTGGTTTTCACAGCCCAAAATTGGGATTTTGTCGTAGCTCAACTATCTGACCCACGTATTTTGTTTAAAATCCACATGATGATTCTCCCCATGTGGGTTCTGGGATCCCATTTTTGGGAGGAAACAAGAATATACCCACTGCCCCCTACCAAGAATGTCGTAATAGGGACTAATTAGGGACTTGCTTAAATCGGAGGCGTAAAAGGCTTAAATATAACAATCTAGCTATAAACACTGTGGCGAAGGAGAACAAATGAACAAACTTTTTCAAAAGGGTTACGAACTGGGCGAAGCGAAAAGGATCGCCAAAATGTTTACTCCCAAACCAAAGGCCAGTGTCTTAAACTCCAACCTTCTCAGGGTGGGAAACAGGCAGTTTAGCCCCTTTGACAAGAAGACCCCCGTGTATACTGTTAAAAATGCATATGATAAAAGATTCAAAATAGTACACCAATCGTGCAGAAAGAAATGCATGTTATCTATTTTCATATTAGATGAGAACTAATATTTGGTATTCTCATGTTATTCATAAAATTCGAAAACAAATGTGAGATAAAACACTGAAATTAAAATGTTATAAATTTAAAAAGAGTGCAAAAATAAGAGAAATGTCAAGGCAACAATTAGTGTCAACAGTTATAATGCAGAAAAGAAGTCGCTTCATTGGACACATTCTTAGAGGGAAAAAAACAACAACCAGTAGCGAATCATCAAACAGGCACTACAAGTTGAAATAAAGGGATTAAGGAGGCGAGGACGTCTAAAAGAAACTTTGAGACAAACGTTGATGACAGAGGCCAAAGCTGCTGGACTGGATTGCATCCATTATATTCAATCAATTGCACAGAATAGAACGGAATGGAGGAGTAGACTGTAAACCCTATATAATGGCACAACAGGATACTGAATAAATGAATGAATGAATGAATGAATGAATGAATGAATGAATGAATGAATGAATGAATGAATGAATGAATGAATGAATGAATAAATAAATGAATGAATGAATGAATGAATAAATGAATGAATGAATGAAGATTGAACAACGGATCAACATCATGGTACACGGGTAGTAACCCATAAAGGCTCCGTTCTACTTCTAACTCAAGTCTGAGTTCGATGTAGCTCAGCGCATTGCACGAGCTCCGTGGCACCGGCAAGGATCCTGAAATATTTTGGGTAGATTTGTAACTCCAAATTTTGCCTGGGCAGCGCCGTTAGGCTACTTTTTTCGATTTCCAACTGCCAAGGGATTTGTTACGTGCGCAACAATACACAAGGGCGTCCGATCTTACTACGTAGAGACCAGGGGAAATTACTAGAAGTATACGTGAACAGAAAAATCCCCAACCATCACCAGGGCCTGAACCCGGGACTTCTAGCACTCCAGGCGGACACCATTCAATGAATGAATGAGTTCCCATAGATACAGACAGTCAGTGTTTTTTTTTTTTTTTTTGGACATGTTATGAGAACGAAAATAGACTTGGTAACTCGGTAGTAACTGGCAAGATTGATGGAAAGAGCAGCAAGAGGAAGACAAAAAGATAAAAATCCGATTGACCTGGTAGCACGAATGGGAGCGAGACCAAAATGTTGACATGGTAATGGTATGAGATGGATAAATATGACAGCCTATGCTTACCGGCACGGCACATTATGACGATGATTCCCATGTTGTAGCTGAATCATGTCTTTTCATCCTAGCACTGAAGGTAATGTAATTGAAGCTGCTTGCAATGGAGCCATTGCCTCAGCCAAAATCATAGCCTCTGTTGTTGTGAACGTCATTGCATTTCTATCACTGCTGAACTTCCTCAATGCAACACTGACTTGGTTTGGTGACAGAGTTGGGCTGCAGAATTTGTCTTTTGAGGTATGTCATAAGATCTGGTTTCTGCGTCATCTTTATTAATTTGTTTCTCCTCGATGTGGGATGATGATTTTTTTAAGGAACAGTGAACAATGAACTATTTAGTTTGCGTGATTTGTAGATAAATATTAGGGAGCGGATATACTGTAGGAGCGACTGACGAGTTGAGTTGAGTCAAGAACTGACATCACAGGACTCGGGGCATTCCCATGCGTGCTCCGTCCTCATCTTCAGCAGCCAGTGCAGCGTTCCAATACTAATGGTATCGGTCACAATCCTGTTATATGTCCATCTTACCTTTCCTCTGAGTATAGTGAGCCAGCCAGGCCCTCTGGTTACACCTAAGTGCCTCATTCTCTCCAGGCCATAATAATCTTCTTTCTCTACTGATTCTGTTGTTTGTTCTCAAAAGGGCCTTGACCACATCTGCCTTGTCATGTATCAATTCACCACCCAGAGGTGCAGATCCAGCCAATCTGTCTGCCTGTTCATTACCCACTACACAGTGGTAACTGAATGAATGGTTAAGATCTCTGGGCTCTCTTGCGGCAGTCCCAGTTTGGAATCCTTCATAACGTTGTGGATTGTTTTCTGTCCAGAGCAAAATTAACAGCTTAGCCTGCGCAGTCCTTGCCACCAGCGTCAGCCAGACAGAACTGAATCCCCAGGATCAAAGACCCCTTTCCTCCTGCTTATGTCACCAACAAATATTTTAATGCAGATAGTAATCGGCAGCTTTTCAGCAGTAGATAAATATTGAGAAGATCACAGTTTTTCGAAATCATGATGTTTAAATATTATGCATAGAAGGAATGTAAATCGGGAAAGGGAATTGGGGGGGGGGGGGGGTATGTTGGTTATTCTGTTTGTGAACTAGGGCTCTACCGAATAGTGATTTTCACTATTCGGCCGAATACGAATAGCTAGACCAACTATTCGGCCGAATACGAATACTGAATCATCATCATCATCAGGTGCTGTCCAAGGTATTTTAAGCATTGTTCTGTAAAACGACATCTCTGAGGCCTCAATAAATTGTTTGGCCTGCCTACCGATTGTCCAGGACTCACAACCATTTGTTAAAACTGGATGTATGTAGCAAGCAAGAATTCTTTTTCTAACCTTCAGTTACAAAGATATATTGCATAAGATGTTCTTCATTTTATTAAATGCAGTTTTTTTTTTGTCCTATTCTGGTTTTTATTTCAGTAATGCATCTTACATCTGATGTTATCCATGTGCCCAGATACTTACATTTCTGTACTTGTCCCAAAATAAAACCATTTACTTTTATTACACATTTAGGAATAATTATTTTCTTTGATACTACCATTACTTCTGTCTTCTTATTATTCAAACTGAGGCCTATTCTTCCACTTTCGAATAGTGTATAAAATAGATATAAAAAAACTATTAAAAAAAATCATCTATAATGTTAAATGTACGCTGAAATTCTACTTCACAAAATGTAGTACAGAATAGTAAACATTTAAAAACATTTCATGTTTTGCATCATTCAGTCAGTCAGTCTGTGGTAACTAATACCTAGGAATGAAAGTATTCTTAGTTTTATAACAAGTAACTAAACTTGTAAATTGTCACTGAAAGCTTAGTTAATCCATGAAAGCGGCATTAGCTTTTAAAACAAAAACAAAATCGTTGCATGTTGTCAGCATTAAGGCAGCTTTTTGTCTCACTGAAGGTATTTCCTGCTGTACTAAACAGACGTTCAATTGGTACGCTCGTAGGTGGTGCACAGAGATAACGCTTGACATTATGAACCAAGGTGGGAAATCTTGATATGTTCATTTTCCACCAGTCCAGAAACGGGTGTAAGGTAACCACTATTCGTATTCGGCCCGACCGCAACTATTCGGCCAAATACCGAATAGTTATTATGTCCACTATTCGGCCCCGAAGCGAATACGAAGCGAATATTCGGTACAGCCCTATTTTGAACCAAAAAAATTATATAGTTTTAGACATGAGTTACAAATTTTAATTTCTAACTGTGCTTGAGTAATAACAAATGCCTGTGAACGTTTGAGAACCACTAAAGACATGAAACGAAAGTTAAACACATTTGAGCCAAGTGCCTGAGGAAAATTGGCATAAAATGGGATGGATTCAAGAGGAATGAAGCAATAAGAGATTTCTGGGCAATCACTAGCATCAACAGTTTAAAATTAAAAATTAAAAACAAGAGAGAGAATGTGGCAATATATTGGACAGATTCTGAGAAAAGATCAGCGGCGAGTTACCGAATAAACGCTGCAATGTGGAAAAGATGGATTTGGTGAAACGAGGACATCCAGAGAAACCCTAAGGCGAACGTCGATGAAAGAAGCCAAAGTTGCCTAATTGGATTCCCTTCATGATATCGAGGTGACTGCACATGAGAGAACGGAATAGAGAAATATAATGGGAGCCTTATGTGATATATAATGACATAAAAGGACAACGAAATAATAAATGAATAAGTCGTGTTGGGTTGATCTTCACAAATTAAAATGTAAATGTTCCTCTATTGAGGGATAGGGTATAGGTGGGAAGAGGGTTCTTCTCTTTCACTACACCCCATCTAGGAAACTAGAACATTTTATATGGAATTTCCGGGAAAGTCTAATATTATAGGGGTATTAGGGTGCGAAATAAACACCGACTAACTTACTAAATTGTACTGAAATGTTATGAAGCTATAGTGAGCTTTGATCAGTTGCAGTGAGCTTTGGTTAGTTACAGTGAACTGTTTGTCAGTTGCAGGGAGCGTCTGGTAAATTGCACTGAACTGTTGTTATGTTGTAGTTAGCCGCTGGTCATTTGCAGTGACTTTCGGTCAGTTACTGTGAACTGTTTGTCAGTAGCAGTGAGCGTTTGGTAAATTGCACTGAACTGTTGTCCAGCTGCAGTGAACGTTTAGTCAACTGCACTAAACTGTTGTTCAGTTGCAGTGGGCTATTCTTTAGTTGTAGTGAGCTGGTTTTCAATTGCCGTTGGCTGTTGATCAGTTGTAGCGAACTGTTCCGCAGTTATACTGAACTGTAGCCCAGTCACAATGAACTGTCGTTTGCACTGAACTGTTGTTTATTTACAGTGAGCTGTTATAGAGTTGTAATATGCTGTCAATTACAGTGAAGTTCACATCGGTTTTTGCTTCAGTGTCGCATTCCAGGCGCGGGGTTTTCCTTCCGCTGGTAAACTTTGACTGTTGACCTCAGAAATCTGCATGGAGCTTATGCCGACAGTTCTTCGCCGATTGCTTTCAGATTTTGACACAACGTTGCATTCGAATACGCGAGTGTTTTTATATTAGAGTGTCACTCAAAGCACGAACTACATAGCTCCAGCAACGATCACATCGGCTTTCCGACGATCCATTTTTATTTCGTTGCCGCGTTCCCGGTGCGGGTTGTGGGTGAACTTTAACTGTTGACCACAGAAATCAGCATAAAGCTGTATATAAGAAAGTATGTGGTAAAAATTACACTGGCTGAATTCACTTTTCATTAAAATTCATGCAACCCATTCTAGTGTGGGTGGACACGGCTGCCAAGGTTAATTAAAAATAAGATATCATCAGGGTTTCAATTTCAAATCCTTCTGAGATAGAGAGAGAAGTAGACGGTGGATTTGGGGGTGGGGGTTGGGGGGGGGGGGAATGACAGACACTATTAACTGAGAGAGCCCAAAACATGATTTTAAAGTCCTGTTTTTTATTATTTATATTTTGATAACGGTTCTTCGGCTATTCTAATTTTTTTTTTGGGTGTGTGTGCAAATTTATTGGTAATTTAGAAGTACAGCAGTAAGCTTTACTGTCCGCTTTTTTTTTTTTAAAGAAGATTTAGCATGTGATAAACAATAATCATATTTTAACTAATATAAAGACACACTTACATGTTCTAGAGTCGCCAAACAAGACTACTATATATCTGAGCAGACAATGATTGTGATATTAAACATATTAGACACGTGCGCTTTCGATTTTCTTTCTTCTCCATTTAGCCAGACTGCACCACAGCCACTCGTGGCGGGTACCACTAGTATAATCATAAATTTGAAAAAATACAAAATGTAAAAACAGATACTTAAAAAGGAGCTTCTCTACATGGTTAGAAGTGACGCCTAGTACCCTTTCAGTTGGCAGAAAGAAGGAGGGGGAGTGGATGGGGGGAGGTTAAGGAGTCTGAGTCCAAGCGTTTCAGATGACTATATCACACATAAGAGGCATCTAGTGGTATGGTTGGCTACTGTATCTTGTAAAATGCTTCTTCCACACACAAAAATCAGTCAAATATGAACAAGTCATATTGGTTGAGGTACTATGCTCCATTAGATAATCTCACTAATTTTCAAGGCAATTTTTCTACGGAGAAGGGAAGGAGGAGGGGCGGTAGAGGTTTCTGTTGATTTGAGGACTTGTGTTTTCCAGAGCACGATTTACTTTGTACGTTTGCCGGTCATCATAGGGCTGTCTGTTTTTACCAGCTTCGTCATAGCCGATAGGACATAGAAGGCCACATTCCCATGTGGCGTAGCTTTGCCAACCTAGGGAACAACATCAAACATAAGAATGTTGAATCAAGAATCGACAACACTGGACTTGGGACATTCCCATAAGCGCTCCGTCCCTATCTTCAACAGCAGACGCAAAATGTCACTTCCTATGATACTAGTAACTGTCAGATTACATATTCACCTCACCTTTCCCTTGAGTGTTGCGCGTCGGCCAGATTCCCTAGTCACTCATTGCAGCACCATTCTCTTTAGACCGCAATGATCTATCTGCGCCTCCACGCCGTTCACTTGCCCCCAAAGTACCCTAACTACATCTGGCTTGTCATGCGTAAATATACCACCAAGTGGTGCAGAATCAGCTAGTATGTCTATCTGTTCATTTCCAAACATACCGGCATTAAACTGGAGAAAATATGCAAACACTAAATACCAGGAACCTCACCGGTGAGAAATGTTTTAAAATAGTTACCAATGCAGTCTCACCATTTTGTGTGTACATTTACATACTATTAAACCTGTTTTGTATTTTTCTTTTTACAGTTGATTTGTTCTTATGTTTTATACCCTGCTGCATTATTCATGGGAACAGAACCTGATGACTGCCGTCAGGTTGCTGAGCTTGTAGGGATCAAAACTTTCACTAATGAATTCATTGCATATCAGTAAGTTTACAATTGACTTTTAGGTTAAAGGATCAAAACATTCACTAATGAATTCATTGCATATCAGTAAGTTTCCTTCACTTAATTATTTATGATTTTCAAGACATCGCTCATTCTTGTAAAAGAATGCAGTGGAGAACGCTGTCGTATGGCAGTTTTGTCAAATACCTTTAGTTCAGGATTATTTTCCTAAAATCCTCAGGTACTCTGAAAAAGGGTGGTTCTGATTGGTGGCTCTCGTTTGTCTAGAAGCTAAGTCCTCGGTTCAAACATACATTTAGCCTATCTCAGGGATGAGGCGACTCGAGTTTTTACTCCACATAATTAATTCCGATCCTTGAGTACACCTCGGCCTGACTTCCACATCACTTTCTTTGCCCCCAGACTGGAACACAACCTTAACACAGTCAAACGTATAAACAACAGTGAATCTGACAACATATGGTTACAATTCTGACGATGACAAACAATTCAATTGAGACGACTTTCTTCTTAGAACAGGAAATCTTCTAAACGAAGAATATAGTGCCATACGTAAACTGCGGCAAGACAAAACGAAATATAGAATAAACTGGAACAGAACGAAAGTTCAATATCAGTTAGAAAGATCAAGATTAGAGCAGGGGTCTCCTTTGAGTGCCTCTGTCTTTCCACCGTCATCATCGCCTGGAGGGCGGAGAGAGATTACTGAGTAAATTTTGGTCTAGGCTGCTGTAATATCCCCTGCAATTGTCGACTTATCTGAAAAGAATCCAGAAACTCTTTTGCGCCAAGGAGTGCGAATCTTCACAGCTTCCTGACTTCTCTGGCAACACAGTAGACCAAGAACTCTCTTCACGGACTAGCAGAAAGATTTGCAAGTCTTTTCAGCGACTCACATACGGCTCTTAACTTCAGGGGAAGGCATTGCAGTGCTAGCTGGTTTCTCAGGTTGACTGTTGCTGGAGAACCGGACTATCACTCAGTCGTTTGCTGGATTTTCAGACATCCGATTCTGATGAAAAATGTCTGGCAAAACAGATTTTCATCTATAACGTTCAAATGGCCACAGTGACAAACACATCTGCTCATTTGAACGGACCGAGTAGGAATGGCGTAGAGAATCATAGTCCCTAACTACCACCATTGGGTAATAATATGTCTCAAGCTTTTAGTGAAGCGGTCAGATTACTAAGTGTCGACAGGCTTAGAAAACGTGTCGTATTATATAAACTATTCGTCAAGAAGGATTAAATTAGGAGTGATCTACATACATTTCTCACATCTGGACACCCCAATAACAAAAGAACTATGTATCTACGGACGGACCATCCAAGATATAAATACATCAATGAGACCATGGATAAGTCTATTGTGGAAGGGGAGTTGATGCTGTTATGTGAAAAACGCTTAAGACGATCTCGGATGTGGTAAATTTCTGTTGTGAAGAACAGTTTGTTTATCCCAGGCAATTTGTCTTGCTAGAACTGTTATCTAGAAAAGAGGAATTTCGTATAAGAATAACCTTTTTCCAGTCCCCGTTGAGTTTTCCTTAACAAGTCTGCACTGTATGTGAATATATTGATCAAGCACTCCATTTAGTATGCATGGTTATTTAGTCTTCTGTTAGGTTTTGCTATATAAATATTTATCAACACTGAATTTTAAATGTACGTCTACTTATCGTGTTTAAGGCTGCCTATAATTATTGTGTCCTCAGAAAACTGTCCGTTCTAATAAAAAATAGAGAAAAATATAATGAGTATGTTAGTATATATGGGCCAAATACTACACATATGGAAGGCGATGATCTGGTTTTAGATTTACAGAATGGAACCAAACTCATCAAAGGAATTATGTCTGTAAGTATGTTTTAGTTTTGTGCATAATTATCTGTATTGTGCTGTATGCATCTTATGACAGTTTCCTATGTGGGCTTTACAAAGTCTGGATAGGGTTTGTAAGTGTCTATCATTGCTGAATTATATTTTATAATATATTTTATAACTGAAAAGACTTTTTCTCTTCCGCCTGATACCTCATAAAGGAAAAAGGGAACGGGGTGTGCAGAGGGGTGGGGGGGGGGGAGGGTGGATAAAAGGATCTATGCGCATGTTAAGATTAACTTTACAACTATTTGTTTTTGTTTTTCCCCACACAAAAAGTGAGTGAACTTGTATATTCTTTTTTAAACCATTATGGTCAGCAATTGTAAATTTAAAAAAAAAAAAAAAAGCTAAATGAAAAGATATACTTTATAAATTGTTGATCATAATCTTTCTTAAGAAAAAATGCACGATCTCTATATAGATGTATGTGGAAATAACCAGCAAACATGAAGTACAGTGGTACCTCGGAATTCGAACACCTATAAACTCGAACAATTTGAAATCCAGAAACAATTATGCCTCGAAATTTGAATGCTGCCTTGAAAACCAAACGCCTGGACTGAGCGGACAATGCATGAGCTTCAGCATCTGCACCAGCAACAGAAGGAAAAAAATTTCCTCTGGGGAGGAAGCTGGAAGCATCAGCACTGCTGAAATCACAGAACTTTTGACAATGTGTTCGAAAACCCAGGGAGTTGTTGAGAGGTTGCACCCTGGTAGCGTTCTGGTTAACATGTGTATTAACGTTTTCGAACATTTTTAGAAAAATTAAAACTGGTCGCCAACACAAAACAAAAACTAGTGACCCCTAAAACCTCTACAAGTAGTGAACGACTACGATATGAAACATAAGAAAGGTGTCCAGGTTTTTTCATGGAAATGACTCACTTCCCAAACAATCATCTCCCTAATTCCACCTTTCTTCTCCTACTTGAATATACTATGTCAACATTTTGATTGAGTTACAGTTTTCTCAATAATTTTATATCTTCTTTATTTATTTATGTGTTTGTTTTTTCAAATATCTTCTTCTTCGTGTTCACCAACTGTAAACGCCAGGGAAAGCTCTGGTTGTTCGTCCACCTTTGGACTCTAGTCTTGCTCCAGAAACTGAGTGTTGCGTGCACATGTTTCTCAGGTCTGACCCATTTGCGTGCAGACTGTTGGCTTCTTGCCTTTTAGGCAGATGTACTCTGACTTCGAAACACACTTGCAGTGTACTGTACTTAGGAAAATAGATATCAAATGTTTGGACTCTGGAACATATTAATTTAGTTTCCATAATTTTTAATGGGGGGGGGGGGGGGGGGGGGAGAGGTTGCCTTGGAATTCGAATGATCTGGAATTCAAATTTCGTCTCGGAACAGTTTAAGTTTGAATACCGAAATAACACTGTGCAGAAAATAAAACCACCAGTTAGTCTAAGTGAGTATGCAGTTTGTATATTTCCAATAACTTTATTTAAAAACTTCTCTTCGTGTGTGTGTGTGTGTGTGTGTGTGTGTGTGAGAGAGAGAGAGAGAGAGAGAGAGAGAGAGAGAGAGAGAGAGCGCGCATATAATGAAGCATGTTTTGTCTAAATCGGATCTCCAGAAAAAAAAAGGGGGGGGGGGGGAGATCTGCTCTATTTTCAGTGGCCTTTCAGGGATTCATCTGATAAGGCAAATACAACATTGACAAAAGTTATGTTGGATAAAAATTAAGCACACAAAGAAGCAACGTAGCATCCTTAGAAAGGACTCTATGAAGAAATCAAAAAGAAATAGACCTAGAAGCAAGCCGGAAACACGCCTCAAAGCACACTCCAAGTCAAAGATTTCAGAATATAAACTTACTAACTGATCTTTGTAACAACCATATAATATATAAGAATTAATAAGTAACAGTGCTTAAATTTACATCAGTGCAACGCTTTGATAAAGTTGTTATAGTGTTATGTTGACAATTGTATGACATTTTCAGCACAGATCAGAAATCATTGCAACTTACGCCCTATGTGGGTTCTCCAACTTTGGATCTATGGGTATTCTTCTCGGAACATTATCTGCCTTGGCTCCTAGCAGAAGGCCAACAATGGCTAAACTGATCCTCAGAGCCATGATAACAGGAAATATTGCATGTTTCTTCACTGCGTGTATTGCAGGTAAGAACACATGTGTGAGTAATCTTTACTAAGCTTTAGTTAACCAGTTGTGAGAGCTATATTGCAGCAAACACACCAAAAACTACTAACCTCATTGTGTCAGCGGTGCTGCCATCTTGAATCAGTATTCATGATGGTAACAGGAGTTGCTTTCTCATTTTCCCCAAGAACATTTGTGTCATTACAAAGGATCTATTTCAAATTATTAAAGAAAGAATGAAAACAAAACAATATTGCTTGTCCTAGCTATGTTACACACATATTAACCCATTTCAGCACCACATATGTCAAATTAGTCTGTTCAGTAATCAACTCTCGATATATGTATGCTTGTCTTGTAGAATTGGGTTGACTGTCTGTTGTAAGTTTTAATCCCCTGAAATTAAAAAAAAAAAAAACCTGACCAAGACTCCAGATTTCGTTTACTTCTTCTTGTCTTCCTTTAGTTCATTACATCAGTTTCAGAGAATTATAATGATGCATTTATTTTTCATAAAATATTGTAAAACGTCATGTTGTTCAGATTCTTAGGGGTGAAAGGGTTAATCCACTCGAACATTCTTCCATTCACTTTATAGTTTCTCAGTTTCCTCATCAGCCGCTCATTCCAAACCTTATCAAAGCATTCTCTAAATTAATCTTTGCTGCGAGAGCAGTTTCTTATCTTGCAACGCATCTTCAATTTCCTGGGAGAGATATGTTGTTTGATCCTCCATAGAATCAAACATCATAAAGCCTGCCTACTGTGCTAATGATGTTTTCCTTTCAGTGTACCACTGTGTTCAGAGGTTAATGTGCTCCTTGTCTTGCAGAAACGGTTGGTAAGCTGATTAGTCTGTAGTTGGAGGCACTGTTACTGCCTTTCCCATGTGTTCTGAAAGATATCATAACTGCCTCTTTCCAGATCCGTAAGACTTTTCATGAAGTTCCTAATGCATTGAAGATCTAAAGCAATCTTCGTTCTGGTCTTTATTCTTAGATGTTGACAATTTCATCAAGTATTCTTTTTTTTTTTTTTTTTTTTGGTTTACCAACGGTTGTTTGTGCATCTGGATATTGACTTTGTGCTAGGGAGGAATTTAACATGTACATCCATTTTACTGGCTCATTTCTGTGTAGCTGGTTGCACTCTGCTACTCGGGAAGATGCACTCTGAATTCAAAGGAAGCTCCCAATTTACAACTCCTTCGACATGTTTGATGAGGAGACAGTGGGTCTATTCTTGTTTTTACCCACAGAGGGTGCCGAGGAGTCAATTATATTATATGTATATTAATAAAAAAAGAAATCCTGCTTGCTACATACATCTAGTTTTAATATATGGCTGTGAATCCTGGACAATCGGTATGCAAGCCAAACAATTTCTTGAGGCCTCAGAAATGTCGTTTTACAGAAGAATGCTTAGAATACCTTGGACAGCCAAAAAGAGCAACCAAGAGTTTTTGAATGAGGCGGGAGCCCGAAGACTACTTATCACAGACATTAGAAGGAGACAGTCATAATTTTTCGGCCATGTTATGATAAGAGGGAAAATAGAACATGTTGTGACCACTGGAAAGATCTGTGGAAGAAGAGATAGAGGCAGACAACCAGAGAGGATTCTCAACAGTCTTGTTGCATGGCATGGAGGTGTGTCGGCACACGAACTGATACATGCTGCAGGAGATCGTAGATTATGGAGAGGCATGATCACCCACGCCAGTCGGCAAGGCACCTGATGATGATGATATTAATTGCTGAGTAGTAAACAGATATGGGGCTGGCACCATATACCCACTGTGCCTCATGCCACAAAGAGGGGTCTTTGGCCATTTGTACTTTTTCATAATTAAAAGTTGTAATTAATCATCAGATATCATTAAGAGAAAGTATAGCAGAGAAATATACGTACATATGTAATATTTATATATATTTTTTTCTTTTTACAAGGTTTATTCTTTCAAGAGTTTGACTGAATTTTGACTGCGAGCTAATCTGATCCTTTCCCTCTACATGGATGCACAGCAATATTATCATTGTTAGAACCAACAGCTATTATCGTCATAATCTTTATTTAAGACTAAAAAAATTAAACATCTACATCTAAGATTATCACTTAGTTTACTTGTACGTCATGATCATAAATACCATCATAAACTAAATCCTCTTGTTATCATTTATCAACATCTTGATACTCATTTTGACTTCCGGTCAAAATGGACGTTAGGCAGCGGCACTGTTCGAAACAGAGGCAAATTTGTTGCTTCTGCCAGACAGTGGCCGATGCATTTTTGCTCCATTTGTAGACTGGATATAGTTTCGTCGCCCAGCTTCTGAGTTGAATGCATGGCGTGACCCTGTGAGCTGCGGATTGCATTTGGAATTTTTTTTCGACTGTGACCAACGTGGTGGTGTGAATTGTAGATTCAGAAAATGGCGCGATGCCTGTCGTGCTGTGTTGTGGTGCCCGTATGTGATTAAAATTGATCGCGTGGGCAACTGCTGATCTGTTGGCGACTTCTGCTACCATCAATGATGAACTGCAATTCTAATACTGTGATAAACATTCTGTGTGTTTTTCGTTGGCACAGGAGTGGAGCAAAGATGGGGGTGACCCGTTTGCTATGAAGCTGAAAATAAGACTACCAGACTCATTGTCATTTGTCACCTATATGTCAAAGGTCATCAGCACTGGAAAAAAAAAAGAAGGAAAAAAAAAAAAACATCACCAATTCTAGCATTATGTAGAACTATGCCATGTCATAGGCACAATACTGTACTTGACACAATTATGAAACTGTAAAAAAAAGGTCACGTCGGGAGTGTAAACCTGTGTTATTGCACACGGTTATAAACCATAAGTGCTCTTTCGCCAGGATGGAGAAACTGTCCGCATGTGTCGATGTTCGCACGTAACTCTGTAGCTACAGCGACGTTCCTCCATTTACCCCAGAGTGCCAACTATGGTACCCATTTCCTAGAGGCAGGGTGAACCCCGGGAACTACCTGGTTTCGAGCACCGACCGTGGCTGCAGCGAGTCGCAGCTGGATTTGAAAGCTAGCGTCCTATCGACTGCTCTAACGTGGCTGTGTGTAAATCTGTGTGTAAAACTACATCACAGTAACATCAGTAAAATATAAATACGACATGGGAGGAACACTTCACATATTTGTGTATCTGAAGGGTACAGTAATGGTTACATCAAATGTGCCGTGTGTGGAAAAACCATCATAGTATTTCAAGGGAAACCGCTTGGTACATATTCATTCTTGATATACTATAACTCTTTCAGTCCCAAACAAGACATCACTCTATCTACTAAATCCCCTCCTTAGCTGAATGTGCTTTCTTGCTGTTTACATTTGATCAGAACATACTGAAGTAAAACTGGCTTCTCCAGTTATCGCTACCCCTGTTATGTTACCACTTTGAAAGTAATGCATTCATGAATTTTTAAACATGGATATTTCTTCACTTTGGCATCTCCTACGAAACCTTCTGGTACAGTTTATATAAGTTGTCTAATTTATAATATGCTCTTCTGGAAAGAGGAGAGGTGCTTAGTAGTATTCTAAGAATACTATGAATAGTCCAGTCTTTGTAGCTTTTCTCAAATTTAAAATGCTACCCTGGACAGAGAAGTAGTGACATAGTGGTTTCTGCCCTTGCCTGTAAGTCAGTGGACTAGGTTCTATACCCAGCTGAGGCAGGATTACATGTTCTGACTAGTGCATCCTCAGGTCAACAAAACCTTACACAAATGGATACCGGACATTTTCAGAATTGTTTGTAAGAGAAATTTATGAGAAAAGGAATTGGCTACTGATTTCACAAGTCATCGTCTAGCAATTCACACCCCCGCCACATCCTCACCATCCCTGTGAAGTCAGAGTGCATCAGCCTGAGAGGTAAGGAACCAACAGCCTCTCTCTCTATACAAGTAAACCAGATGTAGTAAACATGAGCGCGCAATATACACATTAAAACAAGATGAAAGTCTAGAGGTGGGCCAACAACTAGAACTTTCCTCTAGAATTTAAGGTTGGTGAACGCTAATAAGAAGAAGCCCTTGGTCGTTGCATCAGATGGAAATATTATACTTTTATTCTGGACGATGACCAGTGGGTCCAACCCCGTCTGCAGTTTCTAACTATTAAAGGATTTTTTAATACCCACTATGTGCAACTAACACTCGCTATTTTTAACCTAATCTGGAAAGGTTAGATATCACGTTTGCTACACTCAGATGAGGAAGGGGGTGCAATATTTTACATTTTTTTCCTTCATCCAGATATTAACTCGGTCCTTTTTAAAAAACTTATTTCTCAAACACACCTTCCCTTTAAATCATCCTTCTGTCAAAATGCTATATTTCACATAGGGCTTGCAGTAAATATAACTACATTATATTTCTGATCCATAAGTGAATAAAAGGGTTTTGACAGTCTATTAAAAAGTCAGAAAGAAACTGCTTCTATCAATACAGAAAGTAAATAGTGTGATAAGCCTATGGCACAACAATATTCAACAATTAAAAGTGGCTTTTTTGAGAAATTGCAAGACATTCCATATAGGTTTTGGATCAAGAAGAATAAATAAAATGCTAATATTTTACCAAATACGTTCACTTGAGAAAAATGGCTGGTACACAGTATAATGTCCCTTAAACTGAAATATTTTTGGTCATATTAAACCTTATGGTGGTTTAGACAGAACTGTAATGCTTCCAATTTCATATTTTACCTCAAAAACTATAGCATTATCTTTTTAAAAAAATTTTATTTATGTATAAGCACATTTCACTCAAACCACACTCACAAATGACAATTAAATGTTGAACTGAATGTTAATGTTTAAAGAGCTAATAAAGTTTTCTAATGAAAGGTGTCTTTGTATGTTTTAAAATAATCTTATATTATAAATGTTTCTTCATTCAGTATAACTGGAGGCTTATAACTTAGTTCTATCAGGTTGGAAGAATGTATTCAAAATCAGGGCTTTTTTCATGTAAGTGAAGTGC